GAGAGGAGAGGGGAGGGGAGAGGAGAGGAGAGGGGAGAGGAGAGGAGAGGAGAGGAGAGGCTGGAAACATGTCAATAGTTTAGTATTCATAACATGTAGAGCGTCCATTTTTTTCCCCCAACATTGGTAACACTTGTGGACACTTAGAAATATGTTAGATAATATATATAGATTCCATTGTTTTCAAATGTTTTTAAAGTTAATCATCAAAGAAATCACCGAGCCGTGACTTCTGTGTGTGGTTACATCTCTTCTGCTTGTGTAAACTCAAGAGAAACAAACTAAAACACCTGATTTTACTATCACAGACTGTGCAGCACATAGAGTTACTCTCCGTATGTGTGCAGATTGCACAAGAGCGAGTAAACAGTTGAGTGGACGCGTCATTACCCCGTGTTGACGGGTGAGCTCAGGTCGACCCAGCGGACGCTGACGTTCTCTCGGAGCTCCCCTCCGTTGTTCCTGCCGCACGGGATGTGGAAGTCCGTCTGCTCCCTCAGGGCGCCGCGCAGGGACTCCATGGTCTCCGGAGGGATTTGAACCATCAACCCATCTGAGGAACAAATCCCAGTTACGGTAGGTCCCAAAAACAAAGAAAGCTTTGTGGAATAAGAGCCAATAAATCCGTGAGTTTACCCTCAACAATGCTGGACTTGGCGACGAAGCCTGAGGAGGCCTTCAGGGCCCCGTTGAACACCACGAAACTGGCCCCAGTCACTGTAACAAAACACAGGATGACGTCATTGTGCTCGTCTTCTACATTTTGATTGGACGGAGGATGACCGACGGCTCTCACCTGTGCGGGTCTTGTCAGGCTTGCTGTTGGCCTGCGTCTGGTAGTTTCCCTCCTCGTTCTGGAAACACACGAGGTGAGAGTCGGCCTCCGAGCTGAACCTCGCTCCGATGCTGATGACGTGCTCGTTGGACGCGTTCACCACCTTCTGCATCTGTAAAGACAGAGGAAACACATTCACGGTCCTGCAGAGTTAGTAAAAAGTACAATATGTACCTCTGAGATGTAGTACAGTAAAAAGTACAACATGTACCTCATTGAAGCTACTTTTGGGGATGTCGATGTAGCTGTGTCCCATCTCCATGTGAATCCTCAGGCCCTCCACCACCGACAGACTGTACTGGTAGTTCCTCAGGTCCTGTGGAGAAAAAAACGACTTAAATATTTGCATTTTGGAGCTCCATATGAAGCCAATAAGGAAAGGAAACAAGGAGACTCAAAAAGTGAAACTCTCTTCTTGTCGGGAGCCAAAGTATAAATCGAATGTTCTCTGAACAAACCAGAGTGGGCGTTTTTCTGGCAGCCACGTAATTAAAAGTACGTTTCAGCGGGATGAAGAACTGAAGTCTGTGACTTTAGTTCATATATAATACTTCATATATTCATATATAAGACTGAGGACAATATAAAGACTTGTGTGCGTTTGTGTTTTATTACTTACAGCCAGCAGATTCATGATGGTGTGTCCCGTCTCTCGATACACAGAGTCACGAAAACGAACACTTGTCAGTGTGGTGGGATAAACTGAAGAAGAGAAATATGAACGGGTTATTAACGATATAATGAATCATCTTTATCTGTAGACTATTAATAGTGTCGTGACTGAGTTACAGACATTTCATACAAATATGATAAAAACATTTAATTTTGTATTTATTCAATGTTGGATAAAATAACCTTCAGAGCTACAAATAACATTTATCATTAGTAATTCATTTGGTGAATTTTAATTTGTTTCGGGATAATTTCTGATAAAAGAATGAAATAATAATCTATATTGAGATGTTTTTCTAACAATAGACCAAAAAACTGGTTGAGCAAAAATGTAAAACAATAAAAAGAAAAAAGGGTGAATGCTTAAAGACGTGTTTGCTCCTTTAATTTATCTTAATTAATAAGATTATGTCTCGTTTCTTTTACCTGAAATTAAGTTTATTATAAAATGTGACACATTTAAGGCCAGAAAAGTGTGTGTGTGTGTGTGTGTGACACACACACACACACACACACACAGAGAGACAGACAGACAGACAGACAGACACACACCGCTGTATTCAGCTCCGAGCCGCAGGAGCAGCCGGAGGGGGAAGACTTTGGCCCAGGGAACCTCCAGCTTCTGGACCAGCAGCCCGAACATGAAGGGCTGAGGAGGCAGCGTGAGTCCGTCCAGAGGCTGACAGCTGGGGGAGAAGAACAGCATCCCAGCGTGGTCCTTACTGCCCAGGAAGCTGCTGGTGAACGTGACGTTATCCAGCTCCTCCAACAACTTCCCTGTAACAGACACAACGACTCTGTAGTTAGTGAGTGTGTGTGTGTGGGTGTGTGTGTTGCAGACAGACAGGTGGGCTGCGTGTCGTTGTGTCTACCTTTCTGGGCTTCTTGGTAAATGTTGAGATAAAGCGTGAAGAGGTCTTTTGGGAGAGTTTTCTCTTCCGGCAAACACTCCAACAAAAACACCAGCTCTCTCTGCCCGAGAGCCTGCAGCCCGTTAGAGCCGAAACACCAACACTGACGACCGGAGTCTGGAAGAGGAAAGAGAAACAGCAGAGAGTTAACTGACCCGAGATCTGTGGGAGAGCAACGTAAACATGCAAGACTCCTATTTCAATCGACGATCGGAGGGATGATTAACAGCTAATTGATAACTATATTTAAAGCATCAAAGATAACTCATAATAACACGGGGCTCCGTAGTCTGCACCACTTTATTCTCCTTTCACACACTCCACTAGAACCTTTTTCCTTCTTCCCCTCCTTCCGTTTCATCCTTCACAATAAAAGCCCCAGACACGCACACTGGAACATCCTCGAGAGCTCTTAAAGTAACTCGACATAACTAGCTTACACTCATGGTTTTAAAGTATATTTAACTCACATGTCACCAGTTTGACGTTGACCAGCAGGTTGGCGTTGAGAACAAACGTCAGCGGTCGAGGTCCTCCCTCCTCTAATAGGTGCAGAATCTGGCAGGGGGCGGGGCTTTCCTCAACCAAAACATCTGGAAAGAAAAACAACACAGAGATCCAGCGTGAGTTCATCACATCTTTCTGTCAAAGTGAAGACTTTTTTAATCACACATAAGAGACGTTCACAGCTTGTTAAAATGATTTTTGGCTCCTGGTGCTTTTAAAACTAAGATTTTAAAACTGATTTTGCCATCGATGTCATAATAACACCACTGTGAGTGTTAGAAACACGTTCTACTGAATCTCTTACAGTTTACATTGATTTAATAATTGCTTAGAGAACTCTGGTGCCTGTTTTATGAAGTCTGACAAAATGTTAAATTAGGACGTCATCATTTAATGACTACTTTCTCACATGCTGCATCGTTTTTGGCTGAATATTCATTTATCCAAACATGCATTTCACATGGATCAAAGTAGAACATATGAGGAGGGAGATGCCTGGACTGATTATTGCTCTACACCGAGATTATGAATTAATTTCAGTTCATTTCAATTTCAAGTCACTCTTTGAGACGTTGAACCCACCAGGAGAGGGCGCTGCGCTGCAAAATGAATCCTGATTGTTTTTCAGTTTAGTGATGAAGAATTAAAAAACATATCGGGAACAAATCGGGATGAAATCACAGCCTCACATAATGACACGTTCTTCTAAAAGGAGCTAAATATACACACAGACCTCCCACTTCGTCCTCCCCGGTGGTGATGAGCAGAGGAGGAAGATCATCCTCGTTATCCGGCAGCAGGCTGGGAACCCTCGTCACACAAGAGCCGATCCCAGAGAGTAGAGCGTAGTCCCAGGGGCCGGACACGGGGGGCCGGACCACCGCCACGCCTCCAAAAGCTTCAGAAGCTTCAGGGGCCGAGGAGCCACCGACCTCAACATCTGAGCCAGGCTGAAAACACGAGAGGATCGGTCACTGTGGCGTCGTTACACGATGATTATTACTGTTCACAATATTAAAATATGTTTCATCTAGTGGTAGAAAACTCAGTGAAGCAGACAAATGTCCTAAAATGTCTTTTTGTCAATGGAGTCTGGTGCTTTGAAGACAGTCCTTTAGAGGCTCTAGTTGGTTCAGGTAAGTAAAACTGCTTCACGGTATTTCAATGTTATGGTTATTGTGTCAACGCTACTTAAAAACATTTTAACTGTCCAGCGGAAGAACCAAACTTTCTCTAAAGAAGGTGAAAAAGTAGCTAAAAAGTCCTTAAACTCTAGAATCTCGTGTTCTCCCTTCGGCCGTGTGGATCACGTGTCTTACTGTTTGGTCCGGAGAGTCAGAACCGAACTCCTGCGAGCTCCGGCGGCTCGTCACCGACAGCTTGGTCGTGTCCGCCACCTCCCCGTTGGGCAAGATGCCGTCGGCGAACCAGACGCGCTTCTGCTCCCGAGGACAACCTGACGACACAGGAAAGAAAAAGTCTTTTCAAAGGGTTCAGTTCAGGAAACAACAACAGTGAAGGTATAGGACTATGTACAGTATTTAAGAGCAACCATACTGTCATTGTTTGGCTGTTTGAGAACGGACACAGGCACCATGACGGTGGGCGGAGGAGAGTTAAGAGTGCCGGCGGCTCGAGCCTGCTGCAGAGGGGGGATGGTGCTGCAGTACTCAGATGGGACGTTGGGGTTTGGACTTGGACCTGCAGGACTCATCATCCGCTCCAGGGCCTGGGCTACAAGGAGAAACACGTCGTAGAGGCGTGTTAATCTTAGCACAAGTTTAACTCATCTTTAGTCTACGGCTAACTAGATTCACTTCATTTCTTTGTCTTGAGCCTCACTCTCTGTGTGAGTCCATGCACAGAAAGACGGAGGCCGGACTGAAACATTCTCAACAACTATCGGACGGATTGTCATGAATCTCTGAGCAGACATTCATGTTCCCCAGAGGATGAATCCTTCCGACTTTTCCTCCAGCACCACCATCAGATCGATATTTGCGCATTTGACAATTGGATAAACTGCCACGAAAGATTCCTTCATTTTTTATCCAGCACCATCGTCAGGTCGACATTTGAATTTGTCGAATACTTTGTCGAACACTACGGACATTCTCATCAATCTCGGCTGTGCTTCGTGTTTAATGCTAATTAGCTAATATTAGCATGCTGGGATCCCAAATTAAGAAGCTAAACATCAACTCTTAAACAGCCTGTTAGCATGCAAACATTCACATTTTCCTGTACTTGGCTTTTTTGCAACCGATAAACAGGAAGTGACCATATCTGGACTGAGGAGGAGTGACGTAGAGACGCTGTGTACGTCTCCGGTAGCGACCTGTCAATCACCGTGTAGCCCCGCCCTAAAGCATCCCCTGCTTTATGGTCTGTTTGACTCTAAATGGACCATAATATACTAAATGAACATCATGCTGTATTGAAGAAGACTTGAAACTAGAGATTGAGACCATAAACTCATGTTTACTGAGGTAATAAATCAAGAGAGAAGTAGAGTCATTTTCTCATAGACTTCTATGCAACCAGAGGAGTCGCCCCCTGGTGGACACTAGAGAGAATGGAAGTTTTAAGGAACTTCAGCATCGACTTCACTCTTCAGAACCAGAACTTCCTGCCTGATTCTCTACCAGTATGCAGGATCCATTACAGATTAATTTGTATCACTGATACTTTAAATTAAGACGTTTCATTGATATTGGAGGATTCTGTAAAATACTAACAAAAAAATAAAATGAAGCCTGAAGTAACTGATGCTGACGATGATGATGACGATGATGATGCGGTCAGACATCAAACCAGCTAATTCAGAAGCAGAACTGGAGCACGAGTGAGACTGTGTGAGCTCAGAGGACGTTCAGTGGACGATGTTGCAACAACCACGAGGCAGCGACTGTGATTGGAGGTTATGTGATGACTAATCGGAGCTTGGTGAGTGCTTCGTGTGTAGCTACGTTTCATTTGTTTTAATAAATAAAAAGCTTGTGTGTGCTCAGACACATTTGACTGACGGCTCTGCAGAACACGACGTGGGGCAGATGAATGAAGGTTATTGCAAACAGGACGGACGTGAGTTGTTGCTTCCAGGAAAGCTGGCTCTCAGAAAATGCTGATGTAGCACACGTCTGCATTATATTGATTAAGCATCATAGATCTTTATTGATCTGTTGTGTACCGACAACAACTACAGTGTGGTGTACAAAAGTACGGGAACACAGAACGACATCGGGGGGGAAGAATACAGCGAAGACGTTACAGTGATTCAGACCCTTGTTAACCCTCTGAACCCTGGCAGGACGGGAACGCAACTGTTCTTTAAACTATCGCCAAAACGACACCGTTCATCTCAGCCAGAAGCTGGAAAAAACGCCATTATCGTCAGAGTTTCATCTTAACGACGGTCCTTCAACACATCATGTGTGATGAATAATTCCGTCAGAAAAAGCAACCGAAATTAAGCTTAAAATAATGATACTTCATCACAAACATTTTATTCTTTATGTCACATTTAAAATCTCTCCACTAATAAAGCGTCCACTTTAACCAGATCTTATAAAAACATTACAGTGTGAGCTCCTCAGAGAAACTATGAAGTCATGATTAATTCATCTGAGACCAACAGTCATGTGACAACAAGGAGGAGAAACTTTGACTGAACTACAGGAAGTGAACACAGAGGAGAGGAGGGGAGGAGAGAAGAGAGGAGAGAGGAAGAGAGGAGAGGAGAGAGAGGAGGAGAGGAGAGGCTGAAACATGTGAATAGTTTAATATTCTTAGCACATGGAGCCTCCATTTTTGTTTCCAACATTGGTAAAACTTGTGGACATTTGGAAAAATGTTGAATATATAGATTCTATTGTTTGACAATTTTTGTAAAATGAATGATCAAAGAAATTAAACTTGCGTTTCTTTCTTTATACTGATTTTATATCATAACTGTGTTATTCTTCACTAAAGTCATGCTGTAGTTCTCTCTGCTTCTAGTCATCATGGTTCTGTTTCTATAGAGGAGCAGGACTTTTATTTTGAAGTGAAAATTAAGGGGGAAAAAAGAGAGAAAAATGTGACCGGAGCAAGAAATTGCCCCTAACGGCTTTGGGGGTTGAGAGGGTTAACGGATAAAAATAGTCCCACAGCATCACTACAAGGAGAGTCGATTCATCCTGGAAAAAGGATGACAAGGCATAAAAAAAGTCATCCAGGGCTTCAGGCCAAAAACTCTCAGTGTGAGGAAGAAATCCACGAGTGACCTCATTTCATATTTACCACTAATATACACAAATATTCCTCTGCACAGATTATAAAAACACCACAACAAACCAGCAAAGATACACAGAGGCAGTAAACAAACGCAGCTTACCTCTTCCTCATCATCCTCATCTTCCTCTCTGCTAAAACTCAACCGGTCCCAAACACTGCAAGTCTGTTCCTCAGTCTGACTTTAGACACTCCCATCACAGCCGCTCCTCGCTTCATATCCTCAGAGTCTACGTCTGTTGTTAGCCTGTTAGCTTCAGGCTGTGTGTGTGTGTGTGTGTGGTGAGCTTCACATGCAGCTCACCACACTGTTATGAGAGATGAAGGGAGGAAGGGAGGGAAGGAGAGGTGACGGAGAGGAGAGAGCGATGGCGTCACAACCGCTTGAGCATCCGCCAGCCGCAAAAAGTGGATCACCGCTTCCTTCTTAATTTAGACGACGACAGTGTGTGCGAGCGTCACATGTCTACACACACATATACACAAAATCAAGGACAAATGCCAGTGTCCTGCTATAACTCTCCTCCCTCTCTCCATCCATCCATCTCCCCCCCTCCTCCCCCTCTCCATGCTGCAGTCTTTTAACCATAAAAAGGTCCGTCTATAAAACCAGACCACAAAAAAGAAAAACAATCTGCCTTTAAATATGTATATTTTATATGTAAATAGATGGAAAGACGCCAATTCTTCATATGAATGTTTGAATATTTAATAGCCCCCGAGCCTTAGATATTCCTCTGAGCTGCATAATGAAAACATTACCGTGATGTTATTTCATGACAACTTCAGTCTATTTAAAAAGAGGACTCATAGTCCTGTGAGGCAAACTATATTTACCCACCAAACAGGGACGTATTAAAGCAATATATATTAAATATTGAAGCTGCATTAACTGAGTTTTTGGGGGCAGAAACACAAGCTTTAAACTCAACATGGAGATATTGGCTGAATCCAAAATTATTCGCCATTTTTTAAACAAGCACCTTAAACTAGTGATGTTACATGTAATGGGTCTGCCCGTTATACACTCTTTGGCCAACAGGGGGCTTCGTGAGCACATGAGGCCTTGAGATAGGACCATCTTGCCATGACTGCTATGTACCATCATGCAGGAACAAAAATGGCAGGCGGAGAACAGAGGAGAGAGCGGCACGATTGAGACAAATCCAAGAGTTGTGGCACAAAAATAATACATTTAACGGCCAGAAAGCAGTTTGTATTTATTTATTAATTTACAAAAATACACTTATTGGCCCCATATGGACAACGGCAGCGTATACCGCTTTACTACTTCCATTCTTACCTTTCACAATAAAAGCCCTAGACATACATGAGGCATCATTGTTTATCAGGGGAATATGAATCCACTACATTTTTCGATAAAAGGCTACTGAACAAAATAGATTACAACATGTATTTATAAGAAAAGATTATGTGTGCATTTTAATTTTATTTTAATAACGATGGTCCACCAACTGCCACTGACATTTCACATTTTAATTGTGTAAAAGCAGTGACCCAGGAATTCTACTGACCTTAAATAGAACTTCCTGGATCGTGAGTAGGGAGACGTGAATGAGTGAGTGATTTCGAGCACAACTTTTATCACCTAATAAAGTTGTTACGGCAAACGTGTCATCAAACTGTTGCAGTTCACACACGATTCCTTGACTTGAGTCCAGTATTTTCTCTCTTTTAGCTCCGTTTTTGGTCTCCACCAAAAATAAGGGAAATATCTCTTTAGCTGCTAAATGCTCCACTGTGTAAACAGATCAGTCGACAGCTGTGTCTGTTTGATGTACGGTGGGTTTTCATAGAGAAATGAGGTTGATGATAGCGGTGACAGTGAAGTTGCAGCTGTAAAAACCAAAACAACAAGCTGAAAGACACTAAAACTCTCAGTCGTGGTCTGAACTACAGAGTCGGGTAATAATTATTTCTGGGTTCTTTGCTTCAAACGACACCTTTTACATTAAACATATACATTTAATCCATTGTTAATATAAAAACACTGATTAGAGAAGCTTTAAAGCATCTTAAAGAATCTAACTTTTAAAAAATGTGTTTTCTTTGACCATTTCTATTTGATCTTCCACTTCATTACTATCATTTGCACAGTTTGTTAATCCTTTTATCAGCAAGCAGCAGGAAGGACGTGTTCTCTGTCTTTTTAGCATGATAATATCATTTAAATCAGAATAATTCAAAAAGCCGTTCAGTGTTCTTTCTAATTCTTTAAACATCTCTGTCCCATTTGAGATGTTTGTCAGTAACTCACATTGTTTTGTTTGTTTCTTGGAAGTAAACAAACCTTCTGAGGGACATCTCTGTTAAAGATCCTACTGTAGTTGAATAAATATCTCGTATTTGCACACTTCTGCATTAGGAGCTGGTCTTTAGCTCTCACGTCCGTAACAGATATGTGGAAGTGAGTCTCTGACTCGGGAGATAAAACCTTACCTCGGTGTATCGTATCGAAGCAGACGACGCACACTCGAGCCTCCTTCTCCAGGTACTTCAGCTTACACTTCCTGTTGCAGCACACCGCACAGTAAACCTGCCACCGAGGAGACAACAACAATTCACTGAACATGTGTGTGTCTATGTAGTCTGTTAAGTAGCAGAACAATAACAAACAGTCCTCTCTAATGCTGCTTTAATCACTGGCCCTTAAAGGACTTAAAGCTCTCACGGCTCAGTAGAGATCTAGAGGGGAGCTAAAGAAGAAGAAGAAGAAGTGCTGACTCAGCTCACTGCGTCCATGAATCCACGGAGCTATATTTGGTCCTCGGACATAATCCCAGTTTATTGGACTATTTCCAAAACACGCACACTAACTCGGAACTCGGAACGGAATGAGTACGGATCAACTACAGTCCGTTACATCACTACTGAATACTACTTCACCATCGTGCTGACTAGTAGTTTTAAAAACAAGTATAATGTTGACATTCACTTGATTCACTCGGCAGATGAATCGTTACTATTGTAACTCCATCAACAGAACATTGTAGTGAAACTCTAGTAAACAATATAATGGATTCACAGGAGTTTGTAAGCTGACTTTCGTACCTTCCCGCAGGCCCGACAGTGGTGCCTCCTCTTGGTGAAGGTGAACCTCTGGTAGCAGTTCATGCAGTTGGGAGCTTCGGCGTCGGGCACCCATGAGGGCTGCCTGCTCCCCAGCTCCTCCGCTCCGTCTCTCTTCCAGTTCACCGTCACGGCTCCGTCGGTGGGCGACCCCCCGGGGTACGGTGGGGGCTCTGAGAGTTCATCGTACCCAACGCTGTAGTCCCGATGCTCCTGAGAGGCGCACATCGGGCTCAAATCCCTGATGTTGGCGGCGTGCTCGTCCGTGAGACTTGAGGGTGAACTGTCTTCCTCGTCCTCGGGTGTGCCGAGCGTCTCAGTCTGCTCGTCTTTCTCTTCCTCCCCTGCTGGTGGAGATCTGGCGGTTTGGCAGTGTAGTCGTTTAGGTCTCGCGCCTCCATAGGAGGGCTGCTGATCGGGGGACTGGAAAGAGTTGCTGGTTAAGGAGAGTTCTGGCTCCTCTTGGCAAGGAGGTCCGCAAGAGTCCCCTGATGGAGCATCGGGGTTAAAACCTCCCTCTACAGACACGCACATTTTTCTGTCGCTCTCCGGAGAAGTCAGATCGCAGCTCCTCAGCTCCTCGCCCACAAGCCGGGCTTCCAGATCTCCATCAGACTCTGAGAGACCCCGAGTGAAATCTCCCGACATACCGCAGTAAGAGACGCCTCTCTGCTCCGCTTCCGTGTGCGCCTGCAGGAAGGCGTCCAGCTCCTCGTCCGTGACCAGCAGCTCAGCCTGGTCGCTCTCGGGGAGGTATTCGAAGCCGAACTCGGGAGGGTCGACCGGGCTGGGTTCTGAGCGGTCTGCAGCAGCAGCAGTAGCAGGATCCAGAGCGAGATGCTGCTGCCCCACTGGTGACGCCCGGCCCTCCGCAGGTGACGAGTCCTCTACAGGGTCCTCTAAATGGGACCTGGCTTCCGAGGCCGACGTGGAGGAGTCGGCCTCTGTGCACTCGGAGGCATCCGCCGCCTCGTCGAGTGGCTCTGCAGCTCGCCTCGATTCATCCTCCTCCGAGGACGCCGTGTTCAACAGAGCTCCACACATGGACACAGCGATGGGGAGGCACGACAGGCCCACCGACACGCCGTCTGACTGTAAGGACTCACCTTCAGCCGAGGCATCTTGTGCATCCAAGGTTGTTGTTTCTTTAATGCTATTAACGGGCAGAGGGGCCTCCGGCTCACAGCGGTCTAAAGAGTTAGCCGCCTCCTCACAGTTCCTCTCCTCGTTCTCGGCGGATTCGGCCATCCTCGGTGATGGTGAATCCTCTGCGGACTCGCAGCTCCTCTCCACCGCAGCAGGGAGAATGACGTCCAGCAGACTGAGCGAGGCGGAGAATCCACCGCTCTGCTCGCGGGCGTCTAAACTGAGCAGCTCGTCGTCTCCGAAGCCGTCACTTCGCTCCTCTCCGGTGACCACTGGGCTGTCGAAGTCCACGAGCAGCCCGTCCTCCTCCAATTCTTCCTCTTCCTCCTCCGCCGCCATTTGCTTCTCCACCACGTCCAGCTCGCTGAATGCGTCGTGGCTGTCGGCCCTGACCAGGATGGCCGAGCCGGTGTCGTTCACGAGGTCGCACACCGGCTTCAGGGCTCGGTCGGGGCAGGGAGGAGCCGAGCTCTGAGCCGCCGGCCGGCAATCCACCGAGGACAGGAGGTCCACCGCCGTGAGGGGCTGACCTTCGACTTCTCGGTCATCGTCGTCGGCGCCGTGGTTTTGAGCGGCGGCGGAGCGGTCGGGACAGCTGGTGGCAGAACCATAGTGGAGAGAGTTAAGGTCGGGGGGGTTCGGTGGAACGTTGGAGGCCTCGGCGGTTAAAGAGCCCAGTGAGGAGAACGGGTACACAGACGGCTTCAGGAAAACTGATCTGCATTCATGTTCCTCTGAAATAATGAAAAGAACAAAACATGTTAAACTCAGATATCAGGAAAAAATATTTATAATTTAGATATGAAACTCTGTTACTGATGTTTAGTAGTACAATTAAAATGCTAACTCACAAATGTATTTCTCTAACAAGGATTTGAATGAAATTGCAAAAATTAAGACACAAAAATCTCATGGATTGGACAAAAATTAAAGTTTAAAAAAACACATCACTGTCAGATAGAGGTGCAACGAGATGGATAGAAAAATAATCTGTAAAAAATGTATCACAAAATCTGAATTGTTTCAAACAAAACAAAAAAAAAAGCAGAAAATGCCGTTTTCAGCCATTGAAAGAAGTTGATTTCCTGCTTTTCTCAGTTTTATATTGAAGTGAATATCTTTAAGTAACAAAGCTGAAAAAACAAGACTTTAAAGGACATGAGATGGACATTTATCTCCATTTTATAGACCAAACAATGAATCTAGAAAATAATCGTTTGATTAATCGAGAATGAAAATAATGAGTTAGTTGCAGCCCTGCTGTGTCAGCACGCTGTCTATTGTTCCCTGTGTTTGTTCTTTCTTTTTGACAAATTAATGATTTCAAAATGTCAACATGAGCTCTGAGAACAGTTTTCTCTCTTTTTCGACACCCGACAGACAAAACAGTGAGTCGACTAATCAACAATGAAACTAATCATTACTTGCGGCCCTTTTGTTGTTTCTTACCAGTATTGAGCTCAAAGTCATCCAGCAGTTTGTCCAGATCACAAACAGCAGCCTTGAAGAAGCTGTCCATGCTGGACTAAAGCAACGGGCCCTGAACCCCCTCAATTCCTAAAGAGACACAAAAAGAGACTTATTATTAAAAACAACACATATCTTTACAGTCTAATGTCTAAAGTCAAACATGATCAATTACAGTAATAAAAAAGAAAAATCTATATTTAAGTGCATGTGATAACTAAACAGGTGGAGGCATTTATGTCACCCTAAAAATACACGTTTTGTAATCTTAATTACAGTGTTATACGTCATGTAATGTGATGAATATCACTGCAACACGTCTTTCAATATGCACAGAAGTCTATCTTTAGAGCAGCCATATCGTAAACTATACATCTCAATTGTAATCCTTAAATTAGACGTGTAATTCAAAAGATGACAAAATAAATAAGTCAGACAACCTGAAACAAAAAGGAACGTCCACCATTATGACGCTCACACAGACCAGTTTCACAGCAAACATGTGTCATGTGATCAGTAAACATGTGAGTAATACTAATTACTGCCAACAACAACTGAAGAAGTGACTTCTTCTGGGTAAAAAAACGGTTTATGCTTTAATCATTTATGTTTTACGTTTCAAACTTGCTCCTTTAATTCTGTATAATCCAAAACACGTTTCTATTGATTCCCGATTATAACGTTGAGGCTCGAGCATCATCACCACCTGAGGGCCATGTGGGGACTTTTCCTCTCCGTGTTGAACCGGAGTCACGAGGTTTAGCTTTAAACGCCACTGAGAATGAACTTCTGCCAGATTAAAACGTTAATAAATGTGTTTTTGTTGCCTCGTGAAAGGAAAACTATGTTGTCTCAAATGTCCTAATCTGTATTTCTGTGCATCAACAGAAGATTTTGATCATATGACTCTTTTCTTTTGCTGCGATTATTGAAATTAAAAGAAGTGATTGTGATGATTTTTCCACACTGAATACACAGATACCAGCTGATATGAACACTACAGCAGTGTTAATAAAGACACAAAGGACACTGAAGAGCTCTAAAACTGTGGAGACGCTTCCTGTCCTAACACACTGGCGTCTAAACATAGTTAGGAATGAGGAAGCCAGTCTCACTAAACACGCATGACACTGTGACATCGTACATCAGTTTTTGTGAGGACATGTGTGTGCCGAATAAAACCTTCTGCACATTCAATAACAATAAACCTTGGTTTACTGAGAAACTCAGGCAGCTTCGTCGGGCCAAGGAGGAGGCCTACAGAAGTGGGGACAGGATCCTGTACAACCAGGTCAGAAACACACTGACGAGGGAGATCAAGGTAGCAAAGAGGAGCTGCACTGAAAAGCTGGAGAAAAGGTTTTCAGCCAACGACCCCTCGTCAGTTTGGAGAGGCCTGGAAGTACTCACGAACTACAGGAGACCATCCCTCCCGCTGAGGCCAATCACCGACTGGCTGATGACCTGAACTGTTTCTATTGCAGGTTTGATAAGCCCACTTTCACACCCCCCACCATCAAACAACCACCTACACCCCCTGCCTCCTTCTCACCTCTTCCAACCGACCCCCCACCGGCACTGAGGTTCTGCGAGGAGGATGTGAGTCGGCTCTTCCACAGACAGAAGATCAGGAAGGCACCAGGCCCAGACGGTGTGTCACCCTCCTGCCTGAAAGTCTGTGCTGACCAGCTGGCCCCATCTTCACACAGATCACTGGAGCTATGTGAAGTACCCTCCTGCTGCAAACGCTCCACGATCATCCCGGTCCCCAAGAAATCCTCCATCACAGGATTGAATGACTACACGCCAGTCGCGCTGACGTCTGTGGTCATGAAATCCTTTGAGAAACTGGTGTTGACCCATCTGAAGGACATCACAGGGCCCCTGCTGGACCCCCTGCAGTTTGCCTACCGTGCAAACAGGTCGGTGGATGATGCAGTCAGTATGGGACTGCACTACATGCTGCAACACCTCGACTCCCCAGGGTCATATGCAAGGGTTCTGTTTGTGGACTTCAGCTCAGCGTTCAACACCATCATCCCAGCAATACTCCAACCCAAACTCTCCCAGCTCACTGTGCCAGCCTCCACCTGCCAGTGGATCACTAACTTCCTGACTGACAGGACGCAGCAGGTGAGGCTGGGAAAAATCACATGTAGCACCCGGACTATCAGCACTGGCGCCCCCCAGGGTTGTGTGCTCTCCCCACTGCTCTTCTCCCTCTACACCAACGACTGCACCTCAGAGGACCCAACGGTCAAGCTCCTGAAGTTCGCAGACGACACAACGGTCATCGGCCTCATCAGGGACGGTGATGAGTCTGCGTACAGGCGGGAGGTTGAACAGCTGGTCCTCTGGTGTAGTCAGAACAACCTGGAGCTAAACAAGCTCAAAACTGTGGAGATGACAGTGGACTTCAGGAGGAGCCCCCCCAACACTGCCCCCCGCTCACCATACACAACAACACTGTATCCGCTGTGGAGACCTTCAAGTTTCTGGGATCCACAATCTCCCGGGACCTGAAGTGGGCCTCCAACATCAACACCATCCGGAAAAAGGCACAGCAGAGGTTGTACTTCCTGCGCCAGCTCAGGAAGTTCAACCTACCTCAGGAGCTGCTGATCCTGTTTTACTCAGCCATCATCCAGTCTGTTCTCTGCTCCTCTATCACTGTGTGGTTCGGATCAGCCACCAAACAGGACAGGAACAGACTGCAACGGATTGTCAGGTCTGCAGAGAGGATCATTGGTTCCAGCCTGCCCTCCATCCTGGACTTGTTCACCTCCAGAGTCAGGAAACGGGCTGGAAAGATCTCTGCAGACCCCTCACACCCTGGACACAAGCTGTTCCAACTCCTCCCCTCTGGTAGGCGCTACAGGGCTCTGTACGCCAAAACCACCAGACACAGGAACAGCTTCTTTCCACTGGCCATCACTCTCATGAACAACAAATAAGTTATACTGCACTATTACCACCACTTATAATTCATGCCATTATCTATAGGTTTATGTTCACATATATATATATACACATATATACATATATACACACACACACACTTTTTCTCTTGAATATATATTTATACTTATATTGTATATAGCTAAATGTCTATACCTACATCCGTTCTACTTTTTTGCTGCCCTTTTTTATTCTTTATATATATATATATATATATATATATATATATAGTCTTATTTTTTGTAAATTTGTGTTTGTACATTGAGAGCGGAGTGGAAACCGGAGACAAATTCCATGTATGCGTAAGCACACATGGCCAATAAAGCTGATTCTGATTCTGATCACACGGTTAATCGTCACAGTAAAAATATGCACTTACATAAATGTGGAGTAACCAGTTCTGAACAACAGTCATCTGGTATTTCTCTGACAATCAAATATATTTATTCTAAGTTCTTATCAAACTTTTATGTAATGTTATACTTACTTAAGTATTTATTGGGAGAAGAAGCTGTGTTATGGCCAGTAGTAAAAGAAGTACTCTTATCTTGTACTTGTAAAGGCAGCAGTACAAAGTGAAACTACTTTATAGTCTCCTGGTTAGCCTGGTTTAACCTCCACGATGTATTATATATTTTGAGCTCATCAAAATACAATATTTACCTCCGAGGTGTAGTACAGTAGAAAGTACAATATGTACTGTACCTCTGAGATGTAGTACAGTAAAAAGTACAATAGAGATGTAGTGGAGGAGATGTATAAAGCAGCATGAAATAGACATATTGAAGTAAAGTACATTGAACGATTACTTCTTAACTACATTCCACCACTGGTGAACTGGTAGAGATATTTACAGATGAAGTACAAACAAATCTCAGATGAGGTCACAGAATCTGCCGGTAACATATATTGTCGTAACACCGATGGCAACCGGTGTCAGGCTGATTATCAATGCAACTTAAAAACTCAAGATAAGACAATTTAACGGTGTCAGTTAAAGACCGTTAGACGTTAATTCCAACACTTTAATAAGAACCCACTTTCAGCTACAGGATTAGCAAAACAAGCTAACTTACACAACTAGCATTTCAGTGAGCTAACGGCTAACGTTAGCATTAGCTTCTGTAACACTTCACCACAACAAACACTTAGCTTGGATGCTAATTATAGGGCTGATTGTAAGCTAACGTTAACGGTTAACGTCTGCTATCAATATAAAAACACCCTGTTGTTGTAAGTCACGTGATTACAGTAGGTGTAGCTAAAGTTATCATGTTAGCTATGTTGTTATTGAAGGCGTTAGCTGGCTAATGTAGCTAGCTAACTAATGTAGCGAACAGCTAGCTAACTGTGTTTTTACCCGGTTTTATTCTGTGACTAATACACTCCTTACCAGTACTGGTTTTTATTCCATAGCCCCGACGTCACATTCCGGTTCAAAACGGGAACAAACGTGGCCCGTGACGTCTTCTCATTCTTCCGTAACAAGGCAGTTAAAGTTGTGTGAGAGAGAGACAGAAGCTAACTAGTTGGATTAGTGTTTTTTTCTTATTGGAGATGTGTGTGAATTCTCCACTCAGGCGGCCATCTTGAAACTGACTGTCGCGAGATCACAGGATCTGGAAAGCCAAACTGACATTTATTTATTTTATTTATTTATTCATTAGGAGTTATAGTTCATGTAAGTGGTTATAATTTACACTCAATAGACACTTTATTATTTACACTTACTTTAAAAGTTATTTATTCAGCACTGTAGAATGTAACTAAGTACATTAACTTAAGCTCCTGTACTTATTATGACATTCTTCTCACACGTACACACAAACTGAAAGTAGTAGTTATGTAATGTTATTGTTTGTTTTTACTGTTATAATGTCATTTATTTGTTTGTTTTTCTTTTTATTGCTTTACTGTTTATGGTTTTACCGTGTAAAGTGCATATGAGTACTTTTTAAAGTGCTACACAAAATGTATTATTATAATTTATTATTATAATTTATTATTATAATTGAGTTTTTCCATTTTATACTTCTATATACTACTACTCCACTACATCTCAGAGGGAAATATTGTACTTTTTTTACTATACCACCTTTATTTGTCATTTATAGTACTAGTTACATTTTACATAAAAAATAAATGCTTTTATGAAATGACGCAGTACACTAAATATCTAAAATTGGCTCCACTTTATTACATAACAACATTACATTACTTTAACTTTTGACACTTAAACTCAACATTTTGCTGATAATACTTCTGTACTTTAACTTTAATAATCCTTTATTATATATTTGCAGGAGGCATCAGTTAAAAAATAATACATGGTAATAAATAAGGAAGTAAACAGTTAAGATATGATAAATAAATAAACGGTAGCAGTAATTTCATGCAGCTCCGTTAGGATCCTTTAAAACCCAAAACCCTCAAACTCACTCAGATAATATTTATTTTAAAATAAATCACAAGCTGCGTGTTATGTTTTCTTTCAACTGAATATATTCAAGAGTATATTATAAAGGAATTAAATTAAATATTTACTCCACATTATCTCCATACAGCTGAAATAAAAAGACATAATACTTTGTTTGAGTGAGACGTTTCTTGTCTTGTGTAGTAACAGTTTACTTCCACCAGGTGGCAACTGTCAGCTACTGTATAGATTACCTGTTGTATACGTTTCTAATATACATATATCTATGGTTGTATTGTGCCAATGTTATCTAATATTACAATACACCAGCTGTTCCAAATTAAGGCATATAGTCCAGAATGACAACATCATATTTTATTCACATGTTTTATTTGTCAAATCTTAATCTGAGTCAAATAAATGTAGTGAAGTAGACGTGTAAATGGTCGGTGGTGGAATGTACCGGCACATCTGGTGTTGTGGTTGTGTGAGTTGCTGCAGTAAACTATTTGGTCAAATGGAAAATGTTTGCATCTTTGAGTTAATGTTAATTATATTGTTATTGTTATGATTATTTATATTATTATAAATTATTATAATATAATTTTGTTTTTATAATATTATCGTTATTATTATTATTAGTATTGTTATTATTATCATTATTATTACATACAAATAAAAATAAGCTTTGTCCTCCAGTCCGCTAGGTGGCTGTAAGACACCGGGACGCCATGTTTGAGACCACTTAAAACCAAAATCAAAAGAAGTCGAACAGGAACGAAAAGAAATAGGAAGAAGAAGAAGAAGGAAAAAAAAGCAGCAGCAGCAGCAGCAGCAACAGAAGCAGAAGAAGAAGAAGAAGAAGAAGAAGAAGAGGAAGAGAAAGACAACATCGGCACCACAATGAACAGGAGAATACTAAAGGTAAAATCCCCGAATTATTGAATTTACGCCACTTTCCGAGGGTTCAAGTGACTTGTTTCCGGTCTGCGCGTGAACCAAGGGAAAAACCAAGAGAAAAAAACCGTTAACGCGATAATGTAACGTTCCTCCGTCCGACAAAATGAAAGGATAAAGACGTCCGACAAACGGTGACTGAGAGGTAACTAGTTAGTTAGTTAGCTAGCGCGAGCTCACCGGCGACACGTGACTCAGCACTTAAACGGGGAAAACTTGTCACGTAAAGCGGTGATGTCAGACACGTTTTTTATTTTTAACATGTTTTTGTTTTAATCGGCCGAGCTTGTTGTCGAGATTGTTTTACGCTCTGTCACCGTCTGAAGTGGAAAAAAAAAACAAAAAAACATGGAGACTTTTGGGGCTGGGACGTGACGTCACAACCTCGACCGAGGCGATACAATATCATCCAGAGAAGAAGAATGATGTGAATGAATGAATGTTAAGAAACGGGTTTTATAAAACAATAGTATAATGTAACTAAGTACTTTTACTCAAGTGATGAGAGCACAAATTCAAGGTACTTGTACCTTTCACTTTCTATTTCTCCTCCACATCTCAGACGTACATATTGTACTTTTTACTGTACTACATCTCAGAGGTACATATTGTACTTTTTACTGTACTATATCTCAGAGGTACATATTGTACTTTTTACTGTACTACATCTCAGAGG